TGGTTTTTAAAAGAAAAAAATCCTTTCTTAAAAGACTTATTTTATTTTCTTCAAAAAACAGAATATTAATGTTCTTCATGTTTTTGATTTATATTCTATTTTTAACTAAAAGTTATTATTTTATAAATCAAAGTTGTTTATTGAGTTAATCTTTGCATTTATTTTCAGGAAAAAAAACACACCATGAGAAAATGGTTGAAACGTCTCTTACATGTTTTACACAAATGCTTGTTTAATCAACTATTGTCCTTACAGTAAAGTGATTAAGTGTTTTTTTTTCTTTTTATTATTCCATTTAATCAAAGTTGATTGATGATTTATAACTTCATTGAATTATATTTTGAAGTATAATTACTGACTTGTTCATGTTTAATCATAGAAAAATATTTCTTAGATTCAGTTCAGTTGAAACGATTCTTGTAAAGCATTCATTGAGCTTTGGTCTATTTGTAGCTGTGTCAAAGTTACAAAACTTATGGTCTCTAAAGCAGGTGCAAGAGTGTTTCTATGGCAACCAAGTCCCAGTCTCAACAATCTTTCCCTTCTGTTTACCAGAGCCAAGGTCGTGCTCCGTAGTGTCTCTTCTCTTTAGAAAGTAACACATAAACCTGGCTCAGTTGTAGTTGGTCTGAAGAAGTCTGAAGTCTGAGTTTGAATGAGTAGCGAAACACCAGCTTTCGTCTCTGCGGGACTTCCAAATGGGTAGTCCAAATAACAGAATTCTTTTTCTCAAGAGCTAATGACAAAAAGTCTTCTGTCTAGTTGTTAAGGCAACATCAGCCTTAACTTCATTTTTTGAGCTTTTTCCTGAAAAGGGCCGGACTGCCGAGCAGATGCTTGTCTCTTGACTAAACGGCAGATTCTCTACGATGCTGAAACAAAACCCTGGGAAGTCATGCTGACCTGGCTCATTTATCTGCCTCTGTGACGATGAATTCATCTACAGGTAAAGGAAAGTTTTGTCAGCTAGAGGGTCCAGCCGAGTGGGAGACAGAAGCTGATCTGGGTTGTTCTGGTAAGCTTGATAAGATAAAAAGTTAAAACTAAAGTTTTACTAATTCTCTTCTTCCTCATTTTCTTAATCTAAAACTGCCATAAGTTAAAGTGCCTGTAAACCTGTTTTATAACATCCAAAACTTGTTTATTGTTTGTTCAATCCTGAGTGTCACAGTCTGTTGTTGTCTTGGATGCAAAACAATTAATGGAATGTTTAACTCAGAAAGTTTTGATTATTAAGCTTTAATTTGTATATAGTTAAGTTCATTTGTCTGTCAATAAATAACTTTATTTCAGAAAATTGAACAAGACTGGAACTACAAATTATTGTGTCGTTTCTCACTTCTATCCTGAGGAGTATTGTCTTTCATAAAGAACTCGTGTTTCCTTAGTAATTGAGAAGGTGTGTAGATCCTGGTGGACAGGTTTTCTACAACTGACGGTGAGCTCATCTAAAAGGTAGAGGCAGATTATTTTGATTAAGTGTACCAGGGTCCAGCTGAATTGAGTGGGAGATGCATGTGCCCATTCCGGGCTCCTCACATATTGATAAGTTCAAAGTTAAGGCCTTCATTTCCCTTTTCTTACCTTCAACTTATGCCCTGTCAAAACTTAAGAAAGTGCCGCGAACAATGGTTTATTTAAGACCTTAAGCCTGAAGTTTGTTTTTCCTGATACAGCGGGTAAAATAAGTATTGAACACGTCACCATTTTTCTCAGTAAATATATTACTAGAGGTGCTAAWGACATGAAATTTTCACCAGATGTCGGTAACAACCYAAGTGATCCATACATACAAAGAAATCAAACCATAAATGTCCAGAAATGAAGTTATTTGTAATAATGTGGAATGGCACWGGGAAAAAGTATTGAACACATGAAGAAAGGGAGGTGTCAAAAGGCATGGAAAGCCAAGACACCAGCTGAACTCTCTCAGTAATTAGAAAGCAAGCCTGCCCCTTGCCAGTGCAAGTTAATGTCAGTTGGCATAGGCGTAGCCAGGATTTTGTGTGGGGGGTTCTTTTTTTAGAAAAAGTGGACCTTTTTCAGGTATATGGAGGTTGCTTAGATTAACACACCGGTTCTGTTGTAAGCGCAACTTCAAACTTATGTAAACAAGCTAATTATCTAGCATTAAGCTTACATTCTTATGTTGTCTTGCACACCTGCCTTTGGCATAATTGCTGCATAGCATCACACACATGTATCTTCTTGCTCTATTTCCTTTAGCAGCTCTATTTTAACTTGTTTTTGATGGGGAAAACCATAAGCTATTGTAAGAGCTAGTGATGAACAAATGGAGCTTTTATGCAGCACTGAATCAGTTGGGCCAAATGTTTCAAAAATAGGTTCATTTCGTTTGCTGAAACTTCAATTACACTGACCTCTTGTGGCAATTTTCAACACTGCTGTCAAATTAGGCTTTGTGCTTTTGGTTGTACACACCCAACAACTTTAATCACTAGTGTTAAAAAAACTACTTCACTGTGGTTAAAAAAAGCTTTTTTATTCAGCAACTTGCTATGATAACTGATTTGAAAATGTATTTTTGCTGGTTACACCTCCTGTTTTCTAATAAAGATTGAAACATTCGGGGTTTGAAGCATGTTTTGAAGCTTTTGTTTCATACTACCATCACAAGTATGAGCTCCTTTCTTCCTTGGTGGATGTCACAAAAAATGACATCATGTGAGCCTTGAGGGTCATTGTGAAGACAACCCTACCCACATGGAAAAAAACAACATGGCTGTTCAGAGCCAGGAAAGACCTTGGATGTGCAACACTGTTATAGTTTAGTATCAAAATGTTAATACATCAAACAACACAGAAATTAGTCTGACATCCTAAAACATTTACCCACTATAATACATATTCCATTCATTTAAATCTACAGCTACACATTTTTTTTAAAAAATTGTTGACACTACTCTATAGATTAACATAAAATCATCTTAAACAGATGTAGTTTTGCAAAACCTTTATTTACAATGCAAAGTCCATGATCTCAATCTGGATAAAGAAGACAGTCCAACTCCATCCTTCTTGCATGTTTCTTTGCAAACACATCAATAATGCTGTCAAGGTCATTGTGCTTGCTGTAATGAATATGAAGCAGTGCCAGTGAAGAGAGACGCTCCTAACCCATCGATACCCGCATGTAGTTGTTGAGGCGACGAAGGGCACTGCGCTCACACTCACAGGATGTGACAGGGAGTGTACAGGCCAGCCGGTGCAGGACGTGTAGGTTGGGGTACATGTCTCGGTCACACTCTTTCAGGGAACTTGCTGGGGTGTTTGGCCTCTGTGATTCAGGCACTCTGTCATAACTAACAGAACAGTTATTAAAACAGAATTTTTTTATATGTCAATATTATTGTGACATTCAATTTCTAAACCAGCTTCTTGAATGCTTAACTTCAAAACAACTTACTTCAACTTCCACCTTGTAACCTCCTGGTCAACAAGTTCTGGAGAAGGTAGGTCTTCTGCATACATGCTGACAATATCTGTGGTGTCCAGATGGCAAGTGCAGATAATAGCTGATACTAGTCCCAACAAGGAGCTAGCTGTGGCTGACAAAGCTGAGAATAAAAAAATAACTTTGTAAAAAATATAATATTTAAATGTCAGAAAATGTTTATTTCATTTCTATTTAAATTGTATGTATGCAAAGTAGTTAGAAGTTTTGTAAAATCGTCATGTTAAAAGTAAAATACAAGAGAATTGAGCTTCCAGGTTTGTCAAGATGTGTTCCAGAAAAGGAATGGCTAGATTCAGCCTGTAGTGACTGAACACATCCTCAGACGGAATGTTGCTCTGGTGCTGCTGATGCTTTGAGATGCGGGGCTTGCTTGGTGTCACCCCTACTTTGTCAGCCATGCGCACAGCTTGGTCATAGATCAACTGGAATGACTCCATGACATGTTCCCTCAGAGAGCTATACACACATTGGATCTCAGACACCTGTGACAAAAATACATTAAATTGCACAAAGGGTTTATTTTACTTTCATGCTAATGTTTTTCTCTGTTTAATAGTAAATATAGTATAATACAACGTTGTGTAAAATGCTCAAGAGTTTTACCATTTTATGTGCATGTATGATGTCCAGTGTAGATGACTGCAACTTCAGAGTGATGCCAGCAAGGTGAGACAAATATTAGTACACGGTGAGGAATGAGATGATGAAGTCAAATGTTGTCATGGTTGCCAATATTTGTTGAGCATCACTGCGGGTTGCTGGGTCCCAGTTGATGTACATCGGATAATCCTCCAGGTGCATCTGATGGCCAATCACCTCCAAGGTTTCTACTATGTAGAGATATCCTTGATAGAAATGCTGGTAAGCTGACTGCCGTTCAGCCCATCTGGTGCAACAGAAGTCAAGGAGAACTTTTTTTCTGCCATTGTCAGGAACACGCTTCTTCACAACTTCATCCAAAAGGCCTGATCCCTTTGGACTATGTAGGAAGAATGAACAGCAATATTTCAGCCTGTCTATCACACTTCTGATCTCTGGAATGCCACAGGAACGCCCGATCACTAAGTTGAGACAATGGCTGCTGCAGTGCATGTAGGTTGCAAGTGGTGACACTTTCTTGATCTCTGCTTGAACACCAACATTTTGTGATGACATGTTTGCAGCACCATCATAACCCTGGCCACGTATGTTACTGGGATCTAGGCCAATTTTCTCAATAGTCTGTAAAATTATCTTGGCTAGATAAACACCTGTAATGTGAGAAAGTGGCACAAACTTTAGAAATTCCTCTCTAATGTTGTCATCTCTGTCCACAAAACGCATACAAAATGCCAGGTGTTCAACATTGTGTGATGTTACTTCATCAGCCAGGATTGAGTAGAACTTAGCCTCCTTTACTTCTGTGATGATGTCATGAAGAATGAAGTCATTTCCCATTATGTACAAGATGTCATTCTGTGTTTGTGGGGACATGTATGTTGCATTCTTCATCACAGGTGATGGCAGATGATTCTTCACAGTTTCGTTATGGTTGGCAACTAATTGTGGTGGACTCAGAAAATTTCCAGGATTTTTCTCTCCATCAAGTGTGTCCACATGACCTCAATGTGCAATGCACTGTCTGCCACARTACAAAACAGTCTCARCCACTGCTTTTACCACTTCTCTGTTTCWCCTCACATTAGCAGCCTTCTGCTTATCYATTAGTGTCCTRACATTTGCTRCTGGTTTCTCCATTGAAGACACAAAGTCATCCAGTATCTGAAATGCCTCTTGATGGTACTTTGAATTCTGATGTTCACGGCACTTTTCTGCCTTTTTCTGCCAAGTTGTGAATGGGCGGGTGACAAACAGTCCTTTACCTGTACGATTCAAGCAGAACAGAGAACAGCACAGGCAGAATGCACCATCCAAATTTTGGCTATACACCATCCACTTGTACTCTTGAAGCCAAGCTAGTTGAAAGGACCTGTTACAGCCACCTGTATAGGATCTTGGGAAAATGTAGCTTGACCCTGGTTTAAAGTGGTCCTTTAACATCATGTACTTGTCCCAGGGTGACACGTTGTTAATAGCCTCATCTATTTCAGTGTGGCTCATGGTGGCTTGGATGACCTTTCCAATGTCGTATGAAGATGCATCTAGACCTGTCAAAAGAGGTCTGCTTAGAAAAGCACTCAGAACAAGCAATTTAATATTTTATAAATAAATATCAGTCTTTGTGTCCTTGGGCAAGACACTTCACCCACCTTGCCTACTGATGGTGGTCAGAGGGTCCGGTGGCGCCGATGTATGGCAGCCCCACCTCTGTCAGTGTGCCCCAGGGCAGCTGTGGCTACAGTGTAGTTTGCCGTCATCAGTGTGTGAATGTGAGTGTGAATGGGTGAATGTCTGTTAGTGTAAAGCGCGTTGGGGTCTGGAGGGACTTGAAAAGCGCTCTAAAAGTTCAGTACCATTTACCAAATATATATTATAATAAATGTTCAAATGCTCCAGTTTTGAAAGTATACTGACCTGTGTCAACAGATTGCTTTTTCAGCCGATCATCACAATTGCTTTCATCAGTTTGGAGGCAGCTATTGTCATCAACATTAGAAGTACTGGTGCACACAGTGTCAGAACTTGCACTGTCTTCATCATCTTCTGCTCAAAGATAAATCAAGAACATATATGACATGTACTTAGGAAATGTCTGAATTTCTATCAAGCTTCAGTATCTATGGAATTTAAATGTCAAATGCTTTGATAAATAACTAACTAAAATTTTCTAAGAAAATGCTTTGAAAACAAAGTATTTGATCTTTAAATAATTCTGTTCTTTAAAAATCAAGTTTACAAGCAGCACAGTTTTGAAATTTACCTTGTATTCTCTGTTTCTTTGAAACAAAATTGTACAAGGAAACACAGCTTTTGGCAGCTCTTTTCCTCGCTCTGTCCTTCTGCTCACGTCTACCCATTCTAGCATGAATGGTGTATCATCCAGCGCAGAAACCTGAAATACACATTTAAAATAAAATTTACTTTAACATGTATTGTTAATTTATACTTGCATTTAAAGTTAAGGGGGGGGGGTTATATTTTCAGGCACATGGTTAAATTATATACCACAATCAAGTAACTATGTAACTAACTAACTGTTACCTTCATTTGTTATGAAAATACTGTATTTATGAMAGATGGATCAGATTTTGCATCGTCTAGAACTGGTTTAAAGTGTCTGGATGTTGTAGCTTTGAAACTGGACCAGTTGTGGTGTATCCTGGTAAAAACCAGACCCTTGTCCTTCACTTTGCTTACGAGGGTATAAGAATCACTTCACTCCCATAGACAAGCGATTCTTGCTGGAGGCATGGCCTCTGCTGAAGTGTGTGTGTGTGTGTGTTGCTGGAAGGGGGTTAAGCTAAGAAGCTAACTGGAAATAGCGTGCACTGTAAACAACCCTACTGAGAGGAGAAAAGTACCGAGCCGAATGAGACGACTGTAAATGAAAGCTGCTGCTTTGTCAGACTAATTTATTTTATTTTGGAAGCTTTATCTACAGACTGGCTTGTTCTACTTCCTCCACGGTCATTGCTAAACTAAGTAGCAGACACTGCGCGCAGAAAATCGACGTCATTCAAAACTCTGTCTTCTGTTTGGCCCAGGTAAAACAAACTACAAGCAGAGACTGCACAGAAAATAGACGTTTTTCTGTGTAGAATTAATGTAAAAATAATAAAATTAAAATAAAATAATAAAAATAAAATGTGGAATAAACTAGTCCAAGTTTAAGGAGTTTAAAAACATTGGTTTTTAAACTAGAGCATATTAAAAATGCTGGCGGTAAAGCAAAAATAGGTGTGAATGCCCTTTAGCTATTTTGAAAAATAACTTTAGCTTCACTGTAATATAAAGCTCAAAAAAGTCGATTTTATATAACAACCCCTATAAATTGCAAACACAATATCAATAAATGAAGAAAAAATTGTGCAGGCCAAACACAACTGAAGCTCGTTAACCATTTGAAGTTGGGAAAACATGATATTTACATCTTTTATAAGAAGAAATAATATATAAACCTTCTATTAAATAAAAAACACCTTAAAGTATGAAAGCAAGACCTCACCTATTAATTCAAACATATAAAATGAACAGCATTCTAAGGAAAATGCCTGAGGCCTTTTCCTTCCCAAAAGCCTGTAGCCTTTGTAAAACTTGGTTGCTCTTTGTTAGGCTAACTGTGAAGCCACAAACTGTCCTACTGCCATGAACCTTAGCTTTATGGAAACTAGAACAAATAGGGAAGACACTGGTACCAATTTGAGATAAATTACTGCTCCCACCTAGGCAGAAAATGACAAAAAAACAGGAAAAAAAAAGATCGCGAAAATTGCTGTTACTACCTAGCTTAGCTTTAGCGTGTTTTTAGCATTATCTTATATACTGTATTAAACATGGCCCACTCACTTATTTCCTTTACATAAAACCATACCACTAAAAAATACACACCATCTGGCTGGGACAGCTGATGTGTTTGTTTTCTAAGCCAAGTGAACGGACTGTAGGTCTAACTCTGAATGTTGCGTTTTGGCGGAAAGGCGGACTTTTTAGGCAAAGTAGGCGGTTCATCCGAAACCCTCGAACCCCCCCGGCTATGTGTATGGTTGGTTCAGACCCAGATGATGGCCAGATATGACACTGTTGAGGATTCTAGCAGTGCGTTTAGGGACAAGTGGTCAGAATAAGGGTCACGTAAACATCTGGTAGAACATTCTGGAAAAGTTGACATCATCAGTAGTCCACAAAAACATTTAATAAGTGTGTATTGGGTGGTCTTAGGTTTCCAGCCCATTCTGGGAAAAGCCCACCCTTTCCTGGCTTTGTATTATCACAAACAACTTTGGGATAAAAAGTTTGGGTTTCTTTTTTTTTTTTTTCTTTTTTTTCTTGATGGCCTCCCTTCTCCCCCTTTAGCCATCCTTTCCACACCATTATTATATAT